GCTCCTTCGGAGACAACCCTTTCGGCGCGCCCAAGCCTTCTGGTACGAACGGTTGCCTGGCGTCCGAAGCATCCAGCCCGTCACCTATGATGTCGCCATCGTCATCCATTTGGCACCGCATCTGGCGAAGCATGGAGACTGGGACACTGACGGCCTCGCCATCCAGACCGCTGGGGTCTACTTGAAAATCTGGCTGTGTCCACAGATGCCACATCAGCTGTAAGAAGATGGTCAAGTCACAATATGGCAATTGCACCTGTGGTAACCATGTCGCCCTGGGGACATTGGTGTAAACGATGAGCGGCCCTTCCGCACCGTGCGCGCCGCGCGGAAACGGCAGTGCACTCAGCTGCCCAACGCCATCGCGCCAGGAGCGCGCCATGCCAGGCAAGTACCAGAACCATGACTCCTGTGACGTGGTCACCATAAACGGCACAGCGACTCCCTGGCACGCATCTAGGAGCTCCACCAGGGCCAGTTCAAATTGGTTCTGCAGCAACACCTGTTCCGTCTGCACAGCGTCAAGACCGGGCAGCCCGCGCATGTATGACCACGAGCGCTGGCCTGGCAGCGCCTTCTGTGAGTACCAGTGAACAGGGAGGATAACGACGAGCGCCTTGACCCTTCCGTCCAAAATTTGATGCTTGTACCACTGAGTATCACGCAAGACAGAGACGCGCTCCCCTTTGCATAAACGAATTCTTGTATGTGTGCCCAGAGTCTTCGCTTTGAACACCGCCGACACCTCCGGAGAGCCATCGTCTAGAATCAAAACACGTTCGCCGCCTGGTGTCTGAGACTGCTCCACAACCAGGTGCCCCATCGCGCGGGATGCGCGCCCACTCGTAGCTGCCCCTTGGGGGTCCCGCAAATCCACGAGTGCCTCCAGCCTCGAATCCTCAGCGCTTGCCGGCGCCCTTTCCGACGCTTCGGTTTGCCTCCTTCTTGGCGAAGACGCCCTGCCAGAACTTCTGCTTCTTGGCCTGTCGGTTGGAGATGTTCCCATCTCCCGGCGCACGCTTGTTCGGCTTGCCGCCGCCCTTGCCGTCGGCGCGAAACGAGCGGCCTGCTGGGTCACCGCCGCCGGCCCCGCCATCCGCCAAGCCAGACAAGTAATTCGCCCGATTCTCCATCAGAACCTGCTGCTTGGCCAACTCCCTGGCGGTGGTGGCTGACCGGCGTGCCAGGGCGTCCGCCGCGGCCTGCTGCTTCGCCAGGGCGGACTCCTCGGCCGCCGCCAGGACAGCGCCCGCGGGCGCCGAACCGGACCCTGCCAAGGTGCCCGTCCCCATTGCTTTCAAGAACGGCTGCAACCTGGACATCGCCGTGCTCCAGATATGGTCGTCCTTCTTGCCGGCCACTTGCAGGAGCTGCAGTGTTGGGTCACGTCGTTCTGCGCGCTGCGCCCAACTCCTCCGCAACAGGTCGTCGTAAACGAAGGCGCATGCCGGCGTGCCGCGCTGCGTGGACTCCTCCTGCGCCATCTTCAGAATGAAGTCATAGTGCACCATGCCCGTGGCCCAGTCGAGCTGCTGCGTGCCGACAGCCAGGATGAGGTACCGCATGAAAGCGCCAGCCCACTGCGCCGTAGTGCGGAACATCCGCGGCGTAGCCGACGCCGCTTTCAGTGCCGCTGCCAGCTTGGACACCGTCGCCTCTGTCGTGCCGTCCGCGCCGGCGGCCTGCTCCACGACTGCCGCCGCACCACCAACGGACTCTGACGGGATCCACATGGGCAGAATGTCTGCGGACGTGATATCTACATACATGAAAGGATGCTTCGGTGGCGTGTCTGCCTTCGCCAGGGTGGTGAACGACTGCATCAGTTGCCACTTCTTCTGCAATACTTGCATGTGGTACGGCAACTCATCCATGCCGGCGTCATTGAGGAGCTGCTTGACGTCCACCGCCGGCGATGTCGCCGCAGCCAGCGCGCAGGCAACCGCCAGCGCACTTGTCTTGTCGCCCACGTGCGTCACGTCGGCGAGGTTGAGTTGCGGCGGTGCTGGCGATGACGTCCGCGGTTGCGCCGTTCTGGCGGTGCTGGCGGAGGGCAGGGGGTGAGGAGCGGGGAAGGAGGCGGAGAATGAGGAAATGAAGGAGCATGAGGGCACGGCCCAGCCGCAAACAAGAAGGCCCGCTCATTGACTCGAGAGGGGTTGGGTCAACATTCCAACAAGAACCCCAGCAAACTGACTCGCACCCCTACGCGCCCACAGACGAATAAGAGGCACCCATGAATGAATTTACCAGGAAGCCGGAGACACACATGGCTGGATTTGATGGGGAATATATGGAAACTACGCGTTGGAAACACACGCGGAGACCCGGCCTGCACGGCCATAGAAGGCCGAGCACTGGAAAAACATCTGGCCGCACGTGTAATTTCTCAACTCGCGCCCAGGCCCGCCGCATCACGAGTCATGAGTACCTCAGCCTCCCCCTCGTGGCTTCCCCGATACTCAGGCCGCAGCAAACCAAAAGGGAGGAAATTACGGGCTCTGGATGGCCCCCCTCGGAATAGGAGGTGGGAGGGGCTCTGGCTCGAGACGTCCTGGCAATTCAATCACAGACTCCCTCAAGATTCAAGCCCTCCGAAGCCCCAACGTGACGACGGTTACATGATCGGGATGACCCCCTCGGCTAATAAAACAAGTCGGGGCACCCGAAGTAAAGGTCGCAAGAGCCAAAAACCGATGACACTTACCAGGATAAAACACATATGATTAACCACTTGATGCCATAGAAAAAAAAACAATCAAAGTCTTGTTAGGGCTATAGAGTTATGGGGCTCTTGGACTATAGGGCAATGGGGCTATAGGGCTATGGCACTATAGGGCTATAGGGCCATAGAGCTGTAGGTCTCTAGGTCTCCAAGACTATAGAGCTATACGGCCATGGGGCTATAGGGCCATAGGGCTATGGGACTATGGAACTCTAGGGCTATGGGGCTATAGGGCTATAGGACAATAGGGCTAGGATATATGACTATGGGGCCTTAGGGCGATTGGGCTACAGGCTTACAGAGCTTTGGGGTTATAGGGCTATAGGGCTACAGGGCTACAAGGTTGTAGGGCTGAAGGAGTAGATGGATATAAGGCTATTGGGCGATTGGGCGATTGGGTTATAGGGCCATAGTGCCATATGGCTATAGGGCCATAGTGCCATAGGGCTATAGGGCTATAGGGCGATAGGGCTATAGGGCTATAGGGCTATAGGGCTATAGGGCTATAAGACTATAAGGCTTAGGGCTATAGGGATATGGGGCTATAGGGCTATTGGGATATGGGGCTATAGGGCTATGAAACTATAGGGTTACAGGGCTATAAGGCACCCCGGCTATAGGGCTAGCCGCGGAAATCGGTGACAGACCTCACCTAACCATATGAATCCGCTAGGACCCCTACAGAGGTAAGCTCTGATTGGGGAATAAAGTGGGAATCGATTTGGAGGGATTCCCGCTTGAGATTTCCTCGCAATTCAAAAACAGACGAAGCCCCCGCTCAAGACTCCCTCAATATTCAGGTCTCGGGAACCAATCAGTGAAGACATTTACACTGTCGGGATGACCTCCTCGGATAAGAACATAACATGGGGAAAGAGAAGGCCACAGAAGCCCCAAAGCGACGACACTCACATAATCTGGATGACGCTCTCGGATAAGATATATAGAGTGGGAGCCCCGTAATTAGGGATGGGCCCCAGATTGGCAGTTCCTCGCAGTAGCTCACAAACGAGGCTCCCGCTTGAGACTTCCCCAATAATCGAATCTCAGGGCCCATGCAATAACGACATTTAAAATGTATAAATGACCCCCATCGGATGAGAAGCATCAAACGAAGGTTACCCCATTGGAAAGGGGGGCGTTCGAGTCTTCCACGCAATGCGTTCCCTGACCAAGCTCCCGCTCGAGACCTCCTCCCTGTTCAGGCGCCAGGAGCCCAAAAGTGACGACAGGTACAGGACTTTGGCTGACGCCCTCGGATAAGACACATGAAATGGGGGATTCCTCGCAATGAGCTCACAGACGAGGTTCCCACCTGCGACTCCCCGAATATTCAAGCCTCGGGGGCCAACAAACTATCGAATGCTTAAACGTCTGATTGATTCTTTATTAGGGATGCGAAACATCATAAGAAGGGGACCCCATGGGGGGGGCCTCTTGAGTCTTCCTCGCAATGCGCTCGCTGACCATGCACCCGCTCGAGGCCTCCTGAATGTTCAGGCGTCAGGAGCCCAAACGTGGCGACAGTTGCAACATCCGGGCGACACCTTCGGGGTAGAACCATAATGTGGGTCCATATGGAGGGGTTCCCGTTTGAGACATCCTCGCAATTGACAGACGAGGCTCCCGCTGAAGACTGCCTCAAGATATGTGTACGAACGTCTGACTGTGTGAATGTGTGTGTGTGTTGGGGGGTGCTGGCGATGATGGTGTCTATGATGTTGTTAGTGCGTGCGAATGAACGTTATATTTTCCGAAGAAAAACCACCTAATCGTGTCTTATCACACCTCAGCCAAAACATCGAAAGGATCCGCACTGCCACTACACATTGCCCCCGCACACGCGACACCGCTAAGCAAGCCATCTGTCATTCTTGGTGGCTGGCTAGCCTCTCGACCCCTTCCCCACGACAATTGTTTCATCTCGAACTGTTTGTGTTCGACGGCCCAGAGTCCCCAAACAGGCCTTCAGAAGCCAAGAATGGCGGCAGAGAGGCCGCCTGGACTTTTGAGGTACTGGACGTCTGGGCCCCTCGCGTGACTTGCCTGGGATCCTGAAGGAAACGCATCCTAGACCTCTGGAGCTTCTTCTCCAAGGATCAACCTTTCATCCTGACTTGTTTTTGACGGTCCGGGGGCCCGCTGAAGGTCCAGGGAGGCCAGAAATGGCGAACAACAACTCAGGACCCGTTCCCTTCAGGACCCACTTGCTTCACGGCGGCCAGCCCCTCCCCCCCTCGCGCGCTGCCGAGGCTGGCTTTGAATGCCCGCCGGCCTCGGCGGCCGCAGAAGAGGTCCGGGACGCCGCGCTGCCGCCCGAGGGGGAATAGGCGCGCGCGGGCCGCGCCAAGCACTGCTCCAGCCTGGCCGGCGGCCGCCGACGGCCGCGGCCGCGACGGCCCTCGAAGGCCCGAGGTGGCCCAGGCAGCGGCGAGGAGGCTGGCGGCGGACGGCGCCGACGTGCCGCGGCAAAGGCGTCATCGCCGCCGCCGATACCGCCAGAGCCGCCGTCGCCGTCCTGATCTTCGCCGTGCCCGACGTCGAAGGAGGGTCGGGGGTCGAGACTTCAGGGCGTTGTCAGCTAGCCAAGGGGCCAAGGCCTCCGCAGGCCGCATTCAAGGACCTTTGGAGCTGGGCCTTCGCGGAAGCCTCCCGAGACCTCCAGGGATTGAAGATCCCTGGGGGCCGCCGTAGAGGGTCATCGTCGTCGTCGTGGTCCCAGCGCCCGCCTGGCCAGCAGGGGGTGGGTGAAGCCGCTCGGCAGCGGCGGCCCGCCGCCGCTGCCGGCCACGGCGGGGCAGAGGCTCTCCAGCACGAAGAGGGCGTTCCCCAGCGTCTTCCACAGGATTAGCCTCCAGAGCCACAAAGCCACGCTTTGACACAAACTTCAGGCGTCCGCGGCTGCATTGCCCTTCCGCTGAAGCTGGATACGTCCCCGGGCGGTCCCCGGTTTCGGCGCCAGCGGAGAAGTCGCCCGAGGGCCTCTGGAGTTCATGTCTGCGTGGCTTCCTGTCCCGCGCGGGCCTCTCCCCCAGGAGATCACCGCTCACCAGGCGGATGGTCTCCTTCCCTGGCAGCAAGCAAACGCTCACCTCACTCCCCTCGCCAGCCCCGCCGGCTGCCGGCCGCACCTCCACCCCGCTCGGCCGCAGGTGCGCCACCCGCTCGGGCGCTCCGCGTTTCCCCCGCGGGGACGCCAGTGAGGCTCGGGTCCTGGTCAGCACCTCGTCCAAAGAGCTGCGCGAGGCCTGCCGGCAGAACTCCTCCCGGGGGCCCGCGCGCGCCCCGTCCGGGGCCTCCTGCCACGACGCAGGCGTGTCTGCGACGGGCGGGGCGGCCGTGCAAACGAACAGGTACGAAGATATGCCTTCACCGCGAAAGATGCTGCCCTCCATGCCGCCGCCTCTGCACGATCCAGTGGCCATGCTCGGGCTGCCCATGTCGTCTGGAATGCGCGTGATGCGGAGAAACTTCAGCAGCCACAGCCGCACTGAAGCGTGAGGTGCAGCCGGGGTGCCGATGGTACACTCGAGGTGCTCGCTGTAGACCTCGCTGGCAGCCCCAGAACTCAATTGTTTGGCGGTCCGCGAGCTCTGCAACTGAGATAGCAGCGGCAAGGAACCTTCTGCTATCTGCCGCAGCCGCTCTGCAGTAGCAGGTGACAATTCTGGGGCGCTAGGCAACAGGTGGTCGATGAGGCTCCCGTGGTCTGCCAGCAGGCAGGCAACCAGCAGTGGCGGCCACGGCAGCCGCAACTCGACCCGCACCATGTAAGTATCCAATTGATGCTCCGAAGGCTCGACGTACCGGTAGAAAGCCCGCACCCCGTAGTGCTCTCGCCAGAGCGGCTCGGGGCAGGGTACAGCGCACCACTGCGGCCCCTGCTCGGAATAGCCCTCCAGAGCGTAGCTGGAAGTCTGCAGCTGCTGCAGTCGGAAGCTCCTGGCGGCTCCCAGCGATATGCCCAAGTCGGCGGGCGCTGGGGGCACTTCCGAGTCCAGATCCGCGGCAGCCGCGCCCTCACACTCTGCGGCGGCCCTGTGGGGCAATTCCAACTCGCCGCTGGGGAGCGGGAGGCTGAGATACATCTGCACGTTGGTGACCGCGCTGTTCGAGATCTTCCGGCACTCGCGGGAGCTCAGCTCGCCGCGCGCCTGCAGCCCAGGGGTCTCCACACTCGCCGCGCGGCGATGCGCGAGGAGGGGCCGGTGGAGCGTGCGGAAGCTCAGGGTGCCCTGCAAGCCCTCGCTCCAACGCCGGAACTCGCGCAGGGCGAAGTCGTCCTGCAGCAGTGCGGAGAGCGCGTTCGCGGGCAGCTCCAGGGAGCGCAGCACGTGGAACGCGTCGAGGCGATTGCTCTGCCCGCGGTTCCTGTGGATGTGGTGCTGCAGACGCATGCGCGACAGCAACGCGAAGTCTAGCCGCCGCAGGACCGCCCGGAACAGCGTAGCCTCGCCGCAGGACTCGTGGGACAGCAGCTTGCACAGCAGGCCCAGCGCTGCGATGGACCGCACCTCGGACTTCTCCAGCTCGCCGACTACCTCGAGCAGCCCACCGCGGCCCTCGGGGCCCAGGAAGATCAGCTCGGCGTGGCCCTGCGTCATCGGCGGGTCCCGCGTGCGGCACGTCGTCAGCAACCACTCCTCGAAGCCACGGACCGACACCATCCTGCTGCTGGGCAGGCCTTGCAGCCTCGCCCGCAGCGCAGCCGACCGCTCGCAGCAGCGCGCATCGTCGACGCCGCCGGCGCCCCCGGCGCTGCCGCCTCCACGGTCCGAGCCGCCGTGTGAGCAGCTCTGGCCGTCGCCCAGCAGAAGGGCACAGGAAGGCGCCGGGGCAGACCAGGAATCCGCATCGAGGAATTCCCGGCGGAGCGGCTCGGGGACCTCCAGGAAGAGGCACACCTCCTCGCTGAGCGAGATCTCTACCGGCAGCTTCAACAGCAGCCCGAGGAACTCCTCGAGCTCGACCCTGCGCTGCTCGATGAACTGCGGGTACTCCTTGCCCAGCAGCTTCTTGCGCGGAATGGGTGGCAGCACGTGCTCCGGGAAGCGCTTCTGGAGGTTCTGCCACAGGGTGTAGAACTTCGAATAGCGGCGGTACACCGTCCACACTTCACGCCGGCCGACCGCCGTGAGGCGGACCCGGTACTGGGTCACTGGCTGCGGCACCAGGTTCCACCGGTCCGAGGAGGCGTTCGCTTCCGCGCTCGGGATCTCCGCGGACAGGAAGTGCAGCAGCTGGCCGCCCCGTCGGCCGGCGGGGCCGGCGGCCTCCAGCCCGCCTCCAGAAGACATACCAATCGAGCAAACATAAGCTCTCGGAGGCCCGTTCGACCACGACAACGACGACGACGACGACGACGACGACGACGACGACGACAACGACGACGACGACGACGACGACGACGACGACGACGACGACGACGACGACGACGGCGGCGGCGGCGGCGGCGCCGGCGGCAACGTCGACGTCGACGACGCCGGCAACGACAGCGGAGACGGCGACGACGACGCGACGCTGCTGGTGCAGCTGTTTTCCACAAGAGCTAGAGGCGACTCAAGTAGAACTTCTTGGAGGGCTGCTCGGTTTCGTAGGTCGATGCTGGACCCCTTCCATGTCGCGCAAAGTGCGCCAGGGCAGCGGCGGAAGCGCCGCATAGGGTGGGTGGGTCCAAAGGCGACCCAAAACATCCGCGTGGGCCTCCGACAATTCGTGCTTACTGTATTATCTTGCACAGGGTGTCTAGAGCTCCGACCACTTTATTCCGCGTCGCACCCCCCCCACCGCCTCCCCAGCGCCAGAGTGGGACCCCCGCGCCGTGGCTCTCTGCCCCGAGCCCCCCCCGCGTCCCCAGCGCCCCAGCGGGAGCCCCGCCCACCACCTCCCCCCTCCCCCCCGTCCCCAGCGCCCCAGTTGAGCCCCCGCCCCGTGGCCCTCTGCCCCAAGCCCCGCCCAGTGCCCCCTCCGCCCCGACCATTTTATTCCGCGTCGCGACGCACACCACCTCCCCCACCCTCCCCCCCCGCGTACCCAGCGCCCCGGTAGGAGCCCAGCCCAGTCACCCCGAGCCCCCCCGCGTCCCCAGCGCTCCAGTAGGAGCCCCGTTCACAGCCCCCTCCGCCACGAACGTTTTCTTCCGCATCGCACGGCCCCCACCGTCCCGCCCCCAAGATCGTTCTCCCCTCCCCGCCCGCCCGGTGCACGCCGCCCCCCCCTCCGCTCCGACCATTTTATTTCTGCGTCGCACCGCCCCCGCCGTCCCGCCCCCCCGAGACTTCTCTGATTTCTCGTCCCCTCTCTCCCCCCCTTTCCTCCTTCTCCTTCTCCTCGTCTTCTTCCTCCTCCTCCTCTTCCTCCTCCTCCTCCTCCTCCTCCTCCTCTTCCTCATTCCCCCTCCGTTTTGTGCAAGAGCCATGGCACGCGTGCCACTTGTTATTGATTACTCCTCGGACTGGCATGGAGAAAGATAACTGGTCCTGACGGCAACGGGTCCTGGATACTGCGGATTTCTCCCATGGCAACATTTTCGTCCTGAATTGTTTTTTGTCGGTCCATGGGCCCAGGGAGGTCCCCTCAGAGCCTCACAATCCAGAAAAAACTCAAGCCCCGTTTCCCTCAGGACGCATTTCCTCAGGGGGGTCAACATCGAACTCGGATCGACGACGGATCGCCGCTAGATCGGCCGCAGGCATCCGATCGCAAAGCTGCACGTTCCTGGGCGGGGGGGGCTACTGGGCCCCTATCGGCGATTACCGGGCGATCGGGGTCGATGCATTCCCCCCCCCCCTAGAGCCCATTCCCCCTAACGCTGCCCCTGATCTCCGAAGGCCGCCTCCGCTCCCACTCGGCGTGGCCGGGGGGTCTCTGCAGGGGCTGATCAGGAGGCCCTCCACCTTGGCGACGAGGGCGCCGCCGCCGGGCCCGGGCGAAGGCCCTCTCGGCGCGGGGGCAGCTGGGCCTTCCCCAGGGCGGGGCGCCGTCTTGGGCCCCGCTGGTTCGAGCCAAAATGGCTGATCACGGCGGCACGGCGTGTCGCAGCGGCGGCCCCAGCGAAACGTATCCTAGCAAGCGGACAGCGTATCTCTCCGCTCCGCGGGGCGGGAGGCTGGAAAGGGCTGGGGACGTTGGGACGTGGTAAACATGTCACGCCGAAGCGAGGTGACCAGAATCGGCTGCGCGACAGGCAAAGTCAACTTTCCGGACTGCATGCGCCACCGACGTTGCCCAGGATTGCCCTGGGGGGGCCCAGTCAGCTGCGTATGCCTGGTGTTCCGGCGCCTCCTGGACGGCAAGGAATCGAAGAAAGCGCCCGGGCTGAAACTGGCTGCAGACGGTTTCCCGAACCTCCCTCTCCAGATCTCCCCCTCTCGTCGGCCGCGACCCTTGAGAGCCATGCAGAACGTGCCGTGCTTTTCTGGCGGCCGCCCTCTCACTGCCAACCTCTTGCCGCGAAGGCGGCCGCAGCGCCGCCGATGGCGGCGCCGCCGCCAGAAGGGAGGGAGGGACCAGGGAGAGGGGGAGGGGGGCCAAGGGGGGAAGGGGGGGTGGATGGGGGGAAAAGACGGGGTGACGGAAGGGAGAGGGGGGAGGGGGAGCGGGGGAGTCGGTGGGGATGGGGGGGGGGAGAGACGAGGGGTGGGCACCCCAGACGTCCGTAGTCGCGTTTCCTGGCGGGGATGACTGTCCATGTCTGCCAGACTCACCGACGGGGACCCATTCCATTCCATTCCATTATACTCGATCCTATTTTTTTCGGAAACGCAGTAGCCGCAAAAGCCGTAGGATACGTGGACTCGCGGCCCTCTGGCCCAATCCCGCGCGTATCGCATGGCTCGCGCCCCACCCCAGGAGATTCCGTCGATCCCGAAGTCGAGGTCGTCAACGCCGGCATGGGCTTGCGGCCCAGTGGCCCAGCCCTGTAGGTCGCACAGGGCGCCCACTTCCAACATTTCTCATCATGAGGAAGCGGTGGAGAGGGGGATTGAGGCGTTGGTCCAAGTTGCCCTTACTCAAGCCAAGAAGGGGGTGTGGGTGCCAGGGTAGCACTGAACGTGGGGAGTGCGCCCGATGAGTATGGCCCGCCAGGGTTCAAAGTGCTGGGCGCAACACTATGAAACTGTACACTATCGACCAGCACCTGGTCGTGGTCATGCAGCTGTCCCTGGGAGAGCAGTTTGACCAATCGGATCCATTCATCTCGGTCAGCATGGGCGTCTTTGCCAACGTAAAGATGACAGTCCGATTCAGAAAAACGATGATTCGCCGAAGCGCTGCAATAATGATCGAGTGCTGTTTGACGCTGGCCCGCGTATTGCGAAGGGTGTACTGCCTGCCAATCAGCGTCGAAACTTTGGCCCATCTCTCTGCCGGGTCGTCCTCGAGATGCACTCGTCCAAACGTAACTCGAGAGGCCCGCCAAACGATGAAGAAGCCGGTACGCCTGCCGCGCGAAACTTAATCTGGAACCCCCTTCTGGGCCAAAGTAGCCTCCTCCATAGGCGTGACCCAGTCAGCGAACATGTTATTGATGGTCTCCTGGCTCTCGATCTCCCACAGCTGGTGCATGGTGATCGGCGCAGGGAGATCTTTCCAATCAAGTGGGTCCTGATTGAAAGCAGCCGAGACGACCTTGGCAAGAGACCAAGCATCCTCAGGCCAGTAGAAGATGGCAGTAGCGGTGGCGATCTCCATGTTGCCTTGATCCTGCATCTCGTCGGCGATGTCCTGGAGGTGGGAGGGGGCCTTCAGGCTGCGCTCCCGCTTGCGCCTCGAGCTCTTGCTGTCCAGGTCAGGTTGCGCACGCGGTCTGCGCACCATTGGGAGCGAACATGGAACGACGATGGCCTGATGCCGCCAAGCCCGCTCAGCTTGGTCCACGCTTACTTGGATGTCGCAATGTGGGGCCCATGGTACTTCCACGATCGGACCAGAAATGAAGAACGCCTCCTGACCTGCTTTGGCCATGGTGTAGTTGTGCATTGCTCACTTCTTGCCCTGGTCACTGGTGGCCTCGATACCTTCGGGAAAAATGATCGCACCTCCCAACTTAGGGACCCAATCCGTGTGCGTGAAGGCGGCGGGTGTCATGTTCCAGTCTCCAACGATGAGGTGTCGAAATTACTCTGCCCGACTTCCAACGAGGGGAGCATGTAGGCGGCGACGATCAGCAAGCTTCCCGCTCGCATATGCCAACAAGTAACGTCGACCCGCGACACAGGTCCTTAGAGCCAGACGCCATGATGTCGCGCCTGAGGCCATCCAGGGTGGAGATAGCATTGTGCTTGCGGGCCAGTGTCCACTCATCCGTAGAGCAGCAATTGTGATGCTTGAGTGCTGGGGCGGATGGCAACTTCCAAGAACATATAAATTGGGCCGCATATCTTCCAAGCGAAAAGTCCGGTGGGTTCCCACTAAGGCCGTGATAGTGTAGAGGTCGCGCTTCTCGTGAACGAACCTCTCACTCTGGGGGGCCCAGGTCGAGATGTTGGCGTAAAAGATGATAGCAGTGCTACCCACTAGATACCTTAACAACAGAGTCAGAAGCAACACGTGATAAGGCTGCCCCAACCCACCGAGTGGCCTTCTTGGCTGCCGTGACTTTGGTATGAGTCGCCGTACCTTCGAGTAGGGCCTGCTCCAGAGCGGCTTCGGCTGCACACCCGAACTGGTTTCATTCTGCTGTTCAGGCGTGACATTGTCTTCTTTGTTGAATGCGGAGCCTGCTTCATCCTTGCTATCGTCGGAAACTCCTGCAGATTGCTCTTTGTTACATTTCTTATTCGCTGGTGTCGCCACCGTGGACTTGATCGAGTTGATGAGCTCCATCAGGCGCGCCTGCCCTTCTTACACATCACGCTGGTCTCGCTGTAGCTCCATTCTATGAGGCTGGCCTTGGTCGTGTCTTCATAAGGGTAGAGGTCCTCAAAGAGTATTTCGTCAACTGAGAAGAATAATTACCGTTTCCCTATCATGCGTAATCCCTGACGGAGACGTTGATGACTGACTGGTCTTCTGCTCATAGGACCTGGCCGCTACAACTCTGTCTGCCTCCGCGTCAACGTAGGCATTAGCTTGGGCCAGCTGTTCTGTTTCACATTCTTCGAAATCGGCCTTGGCCTCGACGAGCTTGTGGGTACCCGTCAGCAGTTGTCTTTTCTTATACCGTCAAGGTGGGGCATCTCGGCGACAGCAATCTTCTTGGCCTCTTCGCGATCCTTGATATCCTTCTCCAGGGCGGCGGCGGCGGGGTGGGAACTGATGTTCTGAGGAAGCTGGTCCAACAGCGCGAGCTGGCCCCTTGTTCTATGCAGAGTACCAGCTTCAGTCCGCCCACGGCGTCCTGCAATGAGGAGGCTTTGACTTGGTGGTGTCCCGCTTCGATGTCCACTGGGGCATGGCAATAGACGCACCTGTAGTTATTGCCGGTGACGCGCCAGAGGTAGCTCCACTTGCCACACTCGCGGGTGTTCCAAGCATCGCCGTATCGCCCCATGGGGATAATAGAGGGCAACTGGCTGCTTCCTTATTCAACGGGTGCAGGCGCTTACCTGGGGCGGACCAGGAAGCGCGACAACACGTCGGGCAGAAGGCCCTCGATCGTCGCGGAATCGCGGTGATTATCCGCGTGGTTCACCGTGACCCTCACCAGACTTGAGCCAAACTGGCAACGGAAGCCGAGAGGCTTGAGGGGGAAGCGGGAGAGGGATGGGGGAGGAGGCCTGGGGAGGGAGGAGGAGCAGGGGGAGGGTCGAGGAGGAGAAGAGGGAGGAGAACGGGGAGGGTCGAGGAGGCGAAGGGGGAGGGTCGAGGAGGAGAAGGGGGAGGGTCCAGGAGGAGAAGGGAGGAGGAGCAGGGGGAGGGCCGAGAGGGCGCTGAGCTGCGGGGCACCCCCCGCCCTCGCCGCCCTCGCCGCCGCCGGCAGGGGCGGCCGCACGGGCGGCGGGCCCCCGGCGGGACGCCGCGGGGTAGTACGACACGCCCGACTGCTGGCGCTGCTCCGCGCGGCCACGGGAGCCTCCCGGCATGGAGGAGGGGGGTCTCCCGGTCCCTCGCCTCCCTCCTGGTCCTGGCTAGCACCTCCCCTCCTCCTCTTTTTCACGATCCGCCTTTCTCCCTGCCTTCCTCTCTCCCTCCTTTTCCTCCTCCTCCTCCTCCTCCTCCTCCTCCTCCTCCTCGGTCGGCCGGTCCTTGAGGGCAGATAAAGGCGAAGCCCACACAGTACATGGTGGCGAGGGAAAGGGTGGGGCAGTGCGCATGCAGGATAATTATAGGTAGAGCTCCGCTTCCTCCGCCAGCCCCACTGGGCCTTCAGCGTGGGACGAGCACCCTCGACCAATGCTCATGCGGCGAGAGAGACACGCCGTAGAAAGAAATTGGTCGATCCAAACTTTTTCCGCGATGCTCGGAGCTTCTGATCGAAAAAGGCGGGAGAAGCGCACGAACAGTGCACGACAACACGACCCCGGGGGATCAGGGGGTTGGTGCCACATGTCCTACCCGTCCTCGCACTGACCACACCGCCCACGTCGTGGCTCGTGCAGGTGAATGCCCAGAATCCTGAGCCTGACCTGTCCCAGCTTCTCCTCGTCCCTGTCCTCCCTTTTCTTCCTCCTCCCTGTCCCCCTCCAACTCCTCCTCCTCCCTCCTGACTCCTTCCCCTCCCTCCTCCCACTCCCTCCCTGATGGAGATGTGTCCTGGATTTGTTTCGCCGACTTCGGGCCTTTGGGGGGCGTTCTCGGGTCCAGAGGCCATCAAAGAACGATGCGTGACAAAAAGCTTGCCCCCAGCTTCAAAGCCCAACTTTTACTCCCCCTCCAAGGGCGCTGCCAACTACGCAGCTGCTGGCAATTTCAGGAACTACTGCGCAGCTGTTGCTACTTCCGGGAGCTCCTGGGAGGTCCAGCAGAAGACCTCATAAAAAAGCATCTAAATGAGACCTCGCCTCCCTGGCCGCTGCCAAGTTCATAACTGCCGCCACTGTCGGGTACGTGCTCCTCATGGGAGGTCCAGCGGAGTGCGGTCTTACGCGGACCCAAAGTAGTACTCCCCTCCGTGGGGGGCGCAACTGTGGCCCCAGAGTCCGAAAACGGCCCCAAAGAGACTAGAATCGTGAGAAGAAACACAGGATACGTTTTTTCTCTCACGTTGATGCGTTGATCTTCTCAAGGCATTGGAAGATGGGCACCTCCCAAACAGACCAAACCAGACTCGCCAGGTGACCCAGTGGGCTCGGACTAGGTGGAAAGCAAAGGCCTCACAGAGTCCAGACGCACGAGGGCGGCGGGTAGGTCGGGTCCAGTGCGTCGTGGGACCATGGAACTCCCAGAGATCTGGTGGCGCCATTTTTCGGAACATTGGCCCCCAGAGGTCTCGACCCCGCTCCCTGCCTGGGCCAGCTGCTCATCCTGACTGGATGTTTGACATTCCCGAGGCCCGACACCGGCCTCCAGAGACCAAACATACCAACGAGCCAGCCACTCCGATTTTCACGAGCCAGCGGACATCTGACCCGCTGACCCCTGGTGAACCTGAGCCCCAGCGCCTGGCCGAGCCCCCTCGGTGCGCTGCCACTCCAGAGCCTGCCGACGCGCTGCGCTCGAGAGCCGGCCCCGCGGCGGCGGCGGGCCCCCACCCGCCGCCGCAGTCGCCGCCGCAGTCGCCGCCGCCGTCCGCCATCATCACCTTCACAGGCAAATGCTGCGGCTCGGCGTCGGTGTCGACCGGCCGCGCGGCGCCCCAGCGAGCGCCGCTCCAGCGGTGGCCTCGGCTGCACGCAAGGGTGGCTCTTGGCAAGAAGTGGCCGCTGGCACGCGGCTTGCCGACCATTGCATGCGATGTGGCAAAGGCTGAATTGATCTGGGACGAACAGCTGCCCCGGAGGAAGGGGTTGGGACTTCTGCCGGGGCCGCGCATGGAAAAGGTAACGAAGACGTGTTATGCAAATGAGCAGGGGTTCACATGGCCTCCAACATGCACCCAACCCATGCACCTGTCATGAAGACGTACCCAAATCATGTGCAACAAATGACCACAAGAGTGGACCCGTTTTATGCGGATGGTAGCATGCCAAAACACGCAATATGCGATGACAACTACATGGGGGCCTACGCGTTCCCCGATTCACAGGAACACTTTTACTGACGCGTTGCCCTAGGATATGTTAGCGCAGTTGACACCACTGCGCTGGATCTCTCAGAAACCAACAACAAATTGCGACCGCTGCGCAGTTCACTGCCTGCCAGGGGGCCGCGGGGTCTCGATCTGGTGCCCAGAAAGACTCTGCTCCGCTGGGCCTCCAAGGAGCCCACGAAAATGATGGCAATTGCACAACAAACACCCCCCCAGGGAACCGCGAAATCTCGACTGGGTGCCCCGTAAGGCACCACTTCGCTGATCCTCCAAGGAGCTCTGGAAAGTGGCCATACTTGCGAAATTCGCACCCCCCCCATGGGAAAGGTGGGAGGAAGGGAGGCAAGACTGCAGGAGGAGGGAGGAGTGGGAAAAGGAGGCGTAGCAGGATGATGAAGATGAGGACAATAAGGAGGGCCTCCGCCATTGTCGCTGCCTGCCTGTCTACAGAACGCACGTTGGCAAATCTGGTTTGCCCCGTTTTTTCTCAAGCCCCACCGGGGCGCACAGTGGTACGACTTGTTCTGAATAGAAAGATAATGGCACTGCACCCACAACTACCTCGTTTCATTGGGTCAGGTCTCCCCAATCTCGCCCGGCCCCCAGCTACCAGCATTACACATCGCGGGGGAAGTACAGGCGGGGTTTGGGGGGAAGAGGTTCGGACCGATATACGCCGCAACGTTTTTTTCACTGCCCATACAGTGTAGAGCCCAGCATCGATGCGCCGCAACAACTTGCCCAGGCCCTCATCTGATCATACTTCGACATCACACAAGTGGCCGCACTACTGTCCCCCTGACATGCGAAAGGCCGGCCAGCATAGTCTAAGCAAACCTCCGACAACATCCAGCACACCAGCCATGTCAAGCTATTTGATTTGGGATGAAGTGGTTGTGGGTGGGAGGATGTTTGCAAGGTGGATGGGGGGCGGGGAAAGTATCTGTGCACCAGCGGCCGTTTTGGCCTGCATATATGGGAACTCGGTTCCCAATGGGCCGCATACAGCACCACTGACCCAACCATGCTCCTCTTTCTACTGTGCACGTCGTCGGATCGATCGTTGTCACCTCCTTCACCTCTCCCCACATCACTTCAAGTTGCGTGTGTTCTCAGTTGCTATCAGGCAGCCAGGCCATCATAGCGTCGACTGAGCCCAGCCACGCATAGCCACGTAGCCCCTATTACGTTCCTTTCACGCGCAGACCCTTCGAAGATACGAGTGCGGGTCTGTGGGGTGAGGGTGGTGTTTTGCTGTCGGGCGAGCCCACGCAGGGTCATCGATGCAAAACGTTGAAACATGCCAGACATATGTCAAACCTTTGTGTCGAAATACGGAGAAGTAGACAGCAGGACGCTGCCTTTTCAAGCCACCGATACTACCAAACACAGATTACCTTTTACAAGAACCATCAAAAAGCGGAGAACGCAAGCGCGCTTCGCATTGCGCGAATGTTTGAAAATTGGCACGCGCACCCGCGAAGAGTGAGCTGCAGGAGCGACGGGCCCTTCCGCTGGACATTGCCGTGGTCGCTGCAAGTCCGTTGTCCGAATGTTCGGGCGGGCTCAGCGCCCGCTGTTTTCTCTGGCGTCATGTCTTGTGTCCAGCCTTGTAGCGAACGAGCGAACGTCTGTCTTGGACGACAGCGCAAGGCTCGCACACTGGAGCCCCTGCCAAGGGGTGCATGGTGGACCGCGCGTCCAGCGCAAGCCGTGGCACGCGCTAGCCACCCGTGGATCCGCACGCGTGCCTCCAAAGGCATCGTCGCTTGGATCCTGGGGGGTGGTCGCAGTAAAGTCAGTTGCCGCAGAAGCAGGGACGCCCCTGCACGCGAGAGACCCAAAGTATACGAAATTGCTCGGCTCAATGATGCCCAAGCAGCACGCAGTCCCCTCTCGCGGTTTCTATCGCGGGGCCATGCGCGCGAATAACACTTGTTCCTTGGTGCTCCCATTTTAAGCCCCGCGCGCCATTTCGAACAAGCCAGGATGAACGCGGGCACGCGCCACTTTACTGTGTGACCCCCAGCCCGATGCTGACGCACAATGTCACGACAGCACGACTGATGCGCCAAACCCAACAAAAACACGCGAATCCCCGTGCACGCGCGCACCCAACCTCGCGCCGGCCGAACCGGTCGCTCCTGGCTGCGCCAAACCCAGACAGGCCCTGCGAGGTAATGAGGGCCCCGAGAAGGCCCCAAGAGACCCCGAGAGGGACCCCCTGCAGTCAAGATGGCGGCCCTCGTTCTTGACAGCATGGAGGCTCCTGTAGGAGCCCTCTCCGGGCCCTCCAGGAGCCCTGGGAGGGGCCTTTGGGGGCCAAAGGCGCCTTATAGGGCCCCGAAGGGAGCTAGCTCAAGCGCGCTCAAGCCTCACCTTGTCTCAGCTTCCCCCCGTGGAAGAACTGTGTACACAACTTCACAGGCACCATACTGCTCTTACATTCCTACTGCTCTTACATTCCGATTTAGAAGTGCGCCACTTGCACTCGCACCGAGGATCTTGCATACATCATGGCTTCTCGTGTTCCCCTCAAGTTGGATGGAGAGTTGGAACAGGCTGCTTCGCCTCCGCCGACGACAAAACAAACTCGCAGAGCCGGCACCCCCGTCAAGGACGTTTTGCAGCCCCCTGCTGGTAGAGCAAAGCAACATCGCATCCACAGTCCACTACATGAGATGGATGGCCTGGACGATCTTCAAGCCGTACCTCAACAACTATCCGACGATGACCTTGCCGCAGCCGCAGGTTCACAATCGGGTAACGATACGGATGGCCTAACAGTTGGGCAATTTAAGCAAATATTGCGAGACCAGCTTCAACCAATCCAGAACGATATTCGTGCGATCAAGCAGCACGGCGTTTCGCAACAAGACCTGCGGAACGCGGTGGAGCCTTTGAAGACAGCTGTCGATGACATCACAGCACGCGTTGCCGTTCTTGAGTCGCTTCCACATCGGCCAGATGCTGATTCTGCGACTGGTTCCGCACGCAGTCTGGCTTCCACAGTTGAGGCGAAACTCAATGAGATCGAGCGCCAAATGGCGGAACTCACCACGAACAAGCAGTATGAGTGCAATGCTGTCATTGGTGGATTGGGTAACTTCGATACCTTGCGCGACGCGTCTGCATGGATCAATGAACAGGCGCTTCATTTCGGAGCTCCGGAGCCTAAGGAGACCTTCATCAAAGGCGACGCGTTCCAGCAGATCTTCTTCGCAAAGTTTGACACGGCCAGTGCCCGGGACACATTCGTCACAGTCCTGGGGAAAGCCCAATTGAAACATCAAGGAAATGTGATTTGGACGCGTCCAGACCAACCTTTGGAAAAAAGGGTCCCAGAGAGCTGCTTGTTCAGCTTGCGTAAGACATTCTTGGGATGGGGTTATTCCAAAAGCGAGGTACGTGTGGATACTCTGGAACAGAAGCTCAAAGTAGCCAAAGAACCTGTGTGTCACGTACTTGTCGCCGGGTCCGCTCTCCAGGTTACGTGGTGTGGAGCATGGGCTGCTTGGGGCGATCTTACAAACAGCCCGGAGGTGTCTGACCTCACCGATCGCGTTAATGGGGCCCTCCAGCGTGCTAAAGGCAGCGGCAAGGGAAAAAAGGGCAACCACTAGGAAATACGACGGCGCATCGGCACTACAAGTACGACGAGTACGGGCAAATGGGTAACATTTCCATGTTCGCCAGTACTGTGTGGACGAATTGCCTCCTGGAATGTCGAAGGCATCAGCCCGGAGAAGCCACACAAGTTGTACGAGATAATGAAGCACATGTCAGAATTAAATATCGGTGTGTTGTGTCTTCAAGAGACACATTGCCGTGGGTCACAGATTTTGGAACACGAGGGATACTTATTTATTCTTTCTGGGACGGAGCACGACAGCAGAGAATATGCAGGAGTCGGGTTCGTAGTGGCACCTTGGATGAGACACGCTGTCAAAGGTTACCTACAAAAGGACAACAGAATGGCCAGCATTCGGCTCCGGGTATCTGGTGGAATTCTTACGTTGATTACAGTATACGCTTGGACCAACGAGCATCCGTATGATATCCGGCACGTTTTTTTCACCGATCTGACGGCATTCGCCACCAAATGCAAATCTTATGGGCCAACCGTCCTGCTGGGGGACTTCAACGCGAGGCTTCTGCGACGACGTGCCGGAGAAAGGGAAGTCATAGGACCTTATCCTTTCGAGAATCTTACCGGGAAGTGGGAGCCAACGTCAAACCGAGAATTACTATTGGAATTGTGTGGTGCCCTGGAAGCGTGCGTTGCGAATACATTTTTCGACGCAGGACTCGAAGCTAAAGCAACTTACCGCGATCTGGGCACCCATCCAGCAGAACCAATACAACCAGGTCGGTTCGAACAATTGGACCATGTCGTAGTTGAGCGAAGTTGGTTCAGCAGCGTTACGGCTATCTGGAGCGATCGGTGGAGGGCGCTCCAATCGCATCACTTCGTGCAGATAGTGGACCTCGACGTAGACATCCCCAAAAAGGAACGCTCAGCAAGAACAGCCACAGCAGATCTGACGACACTACAAAACAAGGACATCGCAGATAAATACGCTGATGCCTTTGTTCGCAATTGGGAAAGCAATCCGCCATGTACAGATCTGGA